ACAACTTTATGGATGATTTTATGGATTTAATTTTACGTATTATACTTGAATAAATCCGGTAAATTAGCTACCTGTGCACAGCATATTTTGTTTTAGGGCACTAGTTTCCTTTTTTTTCTTTTCTTTTTGGTCTTTGCTTGGTCTCGCCCTACCATGGTCTTGATTTCGACTTGGTACACCCCCTAAAAGTCTTGATCTTGTCTCAATCTCAGTACACTCTGGTCTTGGTTTTGACTTGGTCTCGGGATAAGTGGTCTTCACTAGGACACTAGTTCATTTTAAAAGCTGGACTAAAACCCTGTGTTGGTTTATTGTACTAAAAGTTAGCTGCGTGTTCCATTCTAGGGAGCAGCTTGTGCCACTAATTTCTTTCTTCTTGGTTGAAGAAGAAAGAAGTAACAGAGAGTGAATGACCTAAGAGCTGACTCATGTGATGATACAATGAGTTATAAATTATTTGTAGCGAAACTGGATTGAGCACATTCCATTGAGTATGTATCTATACTAATACAATCATCAGGGGACACCAGAGGGACATAAATTATTGATATTAAAACTAATGTGGTCTTTGTTAATTTGCCAGGTTGAAGCCCATTGCAAAAACAGCATAAAGCTGTAAATAGTCTCACCCCTTAATGGTAAATTCACTTTGGTAAAAGTCTACCTTTCTCCCTCTTAACTTGACATTAACAGTCTGACTCATTGGCTTTTTTTCCCCCAGACAGGGAGGCATTCTTTCCAAATAAACAAGTCCTTGTTGACACAATTTCTATTATTTCTATTCAGCGTCCTTGGGTGTACCGAAAGGCGCTTTATAAATAAAACGCATTATTATTATTATTATTATTATTAGACTACCAAAAAAAGGATAGGGGTTTTATGAAATGTGAAGTTGCACATGTGACAAGTAGCCATTCATCTGTCCGAAGAGAGAAATATGTTTGTGATCAAAAAACTTGACAGGCAGGACATGCAGCACAAACCAAATAGCTGCAAACTTCACTCCTTTTTTAAACAAGGGTGACTCATCACAAAGGAAGACAAGGTGGTTGGAGGACACAAACTAGGATAAGTAGGCTGCTTGCATGCAACAAACCCAAGAACATAGAAACAAAATAGATAAATRTATCCTGAATGATATGATGTGAATCAGGTAAGTTATATAAAACACCTCAAAGATGAAATTTTAATGAAAATTCTGCTTCTGCTTCCAAATCTTACTATTTTGACTGACCATCCCCCCACCTTGGATTAGTATAATTCATAATTATAATCTGTGGACAGCACCTGGTCAATATCCTTTTTACACACGCACACACACACACACACACACACATAATCGGATACACAGTACAGTCATTTCAGAGGAATACACACCTCAGACTCACCCAGGCCTGATATAATAACACTCTCACACTGAGGCTTTAAAATATATAGATTTAAAACAAGTCTAAGCTCTTCTTAGAATGCTAAATATCCTCTTTAAGTTGAACTGGAGACCAAGCTTGATGCTATTTTGATTTTTTTTTTAAATAACATTCTGGATTTTGAAGGGTAAAAATACTGGCTAAAACAGCAGATACCGTTGTGGTGCAGACATGCCTTGTTTTTCTTCTGGTCCATTCAGGCCACTGTCCCCGTATGACCCAGGATCAAAATATCACATCCCGTCGAACTCCTTTCCAAGTATGGAAGCCAAACATGACTGAGAATCAKAAACAGCTCTTTGTCAAACAATGCGGTGTCACACACACTCCAAACATTTCCATCTTGGAGAYGGTGTTTGTTGATCAGGTAGAAGGAAAGCACTTTGGTTGTTTCACAGCACTTTAATCCAGTTTGAAGATTGGATGGAAAATTTGTTGGACATCACAAGATGATACAATCAACCCCACCCCCAAACAAACAAACAAACAAACAAACAAACAAACAAACAAATGTGTTCTTAGTCAAAATCTTTGTCTGACTCAGCATTATGAATATTGTGCAAGAATAAAGCAGTGGCTAATTTTACAGCCTATAAATGAGTGATACAATAAGGAAGCAACAATGAATTAACATTATTTTTTGCTTTTTTTCAGAAGGCACAGCTTCATTCTCACAACGACATGAAAAACTAAAGCAGAGCCTTGTTTCCCTTTCTTTGCCTCACACACCAAATGTTGCAAAAATGTACAATGAAAGACCCTGCAGATGAAAGGCAGGAAATACAGCAGCTGTCCTCAGGGTGTATGCTACAGGTAGGCTTCCTCCACAAAAAGACAGATATAAATAAGCACTAAAAATGTGCAAGATAATAATCCTTACAAAATAAAATAAAARGCTTACTTCTTGAGATGAATGAGATTTGTCATAAACAAGGAGTAGGAAATGTAATAACACTTAATAAATAAATTTTATATTGAAGTATTTAATATTATCTTAATGCAGATTTAATTGTCAAAAGAGTTCTCTTCCAATAAACATCATCCTGTTTCGTCTGAAGTCTAATCCCGTATTTAAATGTGTCTGTTTGTGCATTCAACTTTGTATGTAACTGAGCCGCACTGAGCAAAGTAGATTACTGTGTGACCTCCAGTGCACGCCGCCGCCTGAAAACAGAGGCAGAACCCGTCCTGCCACAGCAGGCGGAGCCGAGTGACGAGCCGAGGGCTGCTGCTGCTGCAAGAGTGAGAGGAATCAGCTCAAACAGTCCTCCCCTGCAACTTCACTGATCCACTCCTCTGCTCGCACTCTCTCATACCAAAACAAACACTTTCCTCAAAGCAGGTGTCGTTTCCATAGTGGTCAGTGAGAAAAACCTCAGTGTCAGAGCCCAAGCAGGCTGAGACACACAGCTACAATTTGGAACAATTACAAGCTCATTTTATTACTGTTTGTTATAAAAAATGCCACGCTTTCAGTTCATATAATGTATTCATGTAAATGTAATAGAAACTTGACAGGAATTAGTCACTTCAGTTTTGGTTTTGCTGCAGAGTGAAGGTGAGATTATTAAGTTAAGTGAAATGGGAGCATATATCGCCCTCTTTAACAGCTGCTAAAGCAGCTGAATATACAGCAGATCCTCAGCTACACAAGCTGTCTTTGTAAACGCTCTTCTGTCTGGGGCAAGTCCTGTTTGCAGATGTTAGGTCAGGACAACAGGCT